TACTCATTTTAAATGATATTTCCTATTGAGAAAAAGTTTTTTTTTCTTTTCAAATATGAAAGAAATTTAAAAATCAGTTATGTCAACAGGGGTGGTAACAGTCCACAATCCTGAGCACCAAGTCTTGAGTGAAGAGCTTCCTATCTCATTGCATCTTTACAACGTGACTACCTGGGAGGTGTGTGATTACTGTCATACTAAAGATGAGGCAACAGAGGCTGAGACTGCTGTCTAGGCCTAGAGCTGAGAAGCGGAGCCTAAGCTTTTAGTCCTTCCCTAGATGGCCCCCATTAGGTCTTAATTTTGCTGACTTTGGGCTAAAAAATGTTGCTTTGCGGAGTTCAAGGGAGGCAATTACAGATGGCTACTATAAAAGTTAAACAGCAAAACAATAAAATTAACCCTGAAACACTATTCCCCAAATGCTAGCCTTTATTTCAAAAAATAGTCACTATGACTGACTTAAGAGGGATTTTTAAGAGATTACTTCCCTTTACAGTCTAAACACTAATCTTAAAATTGTTTCGCTAACATGCTTAAAATTTTTTACTTCATTGAATAGTCTGTAAGGTAACATTAAAAATGAGGTAACACTGAAAATGTGCAGGGCTGGACAGCAACCGTACCCTGAGGGTAGCCGGTACCCTGCTCCCCCTCCCAGGGCAAACCGCCTCCGGTGGGAAGGAGCTGTGTGTCCAGGGCGGCAGCGGAGGGCCGCAGGGCCTCAGCTCTTTTAGAACCAACCTGGCGTGTGGATCAGCTTTTAAGCATTTGATGGGCAATACTACCTCTGTACACATTCTGGTATTTTAAAGACAGATTCCACTCTAGCCAAATCTCAGTATGTGCAAAGGAGCTCTGTCTCTCACTTGACCTCCCAGCCCTGTACATTTTTACTACCCTGGACAACTCCAAGGGAAGTGCAGAGTTTTCTATGTTGAGGTCAAGGACAAAGAATTTAAAGGACAGTAACAACTTTAAAGTAATAAGATTGTGCCACAAATTGACGTTAAGTAATTAAGACCTTTCTGAAAATAAATGGGCTGTTTCAATTCATCCAAACTTGGTGACTAGATTGATTAGATTATCCTTTGTTCAAAAGAAAACAATCTTTTTAAGCAGAGGAACCGCTTTCTGATTTTAGTCTGGATTACAAATTTAAATAAATACATGAGTAAATAAATTCCAGACAACTAGAAAAAAAAACACTTCAGATTTCACTGCCACAAATTCAAAGTTTAATAAGACACCCCGCAGGAAGTGCCCAGGGACCTGCTGGGCCAGAGGCGTCACCCCGCCTACTCCTGCATGTCCTGAGACAGAGACAGAACATTCTCCCCCAAACAATGTAAAACATATTTTTACCATTTTCTTTTTGTTTATTCTGTTTCATTCCTTTCTGACTTAAAGAAAACAACAACACACCTACCAAGGAGAACAAGCGTCGCCAGGATCTAACAGAAATCGACAGGCTGAATAACCTGTGCCGAGAGCAGAATCAACACTCACACCGCATTCTGCCCACTGTTTATGCATGAGCTACAGCTGTTTCCTCCTCAAAACTGAGGAAGGAAAATTTTAGATCCCAAGCCATCACCGATTAGAAGCTGCGCTGGAATATAACTGCCAGCACAGAACACACACTCTGAAAAGGCACACAAGCTGGGGGGCCAGGGGACGGACATGTCATTACATGTGCGAGTCTTCACTTTTTATTTAGGCTGAATTACACAAAACTGCCATAAGGGAGAGAGTGGGCTTCGTCAGCTAGCAATAACATAATGAAACTGAAAAATGATTCTGCTAGAGTGGTTTTACGTATTAGATATCAAAATCTTTCCCATATAATTTAAATTGAATTTGTATTCTCAGACCCTGTAGATGAAAAATTATTTCTGATATACCAGTAAAAACTAGAATGAACTCTGGTAAAATGTATATTCACCTCACACCCCAACTGGTATATTTACTTAGCGAATTATACCTAATTTCACCACAGGTAAACATAAATGTAAGCATATTTCCCAATGCAATTATTAAAAAAAAAAAGCCCAAATATAAATTAATCCCTGAAGTAAGCAGGTTCTATTAATAACTTAATATGGTATTTTCTTAGACTTTTTTTGCTTTAAAATTTAGTTATTTCTAAAGTATATTGTATATCCAGCAATTAAAATAATTGAAATTGGAAAAAATTGAAATATGCAAAATAAAAGTAGATATTTAACAACTAAAATATAATCTGGTAACACGAGAAAAACAAAGACTCTCAACTAGAGATTAATTGGAGCTGCTTCTCTTGAGGAGTCCCAGTCAGCTCCGCATGAGGACAAGAGTGGTAAGATTAACAAGTGTGTACAGGCCCTTAGCAGCCTTCCAGCTACAAAAGTCACAGTGATGGGAAACATTCAGCAAAAGGTTAAGTAAAATCCAACTCCTTCTGGTTGCAGGTGACAGCACAGAAAGGTATGCCCACAGGGAACAAAGCAAGCACCTGTGGGGTAACCTCCCAACCCCAAAGGATGCAGTCAAAGGTCCAGTGCTGCACTGCAGCCTGGACCACAGGGAGGACCTTCTCCAATGGAGACCCGCCCTCCTCCAGAGCTTACTATCCTCCACCTTGGACCCCAGGGCTGGTTCATCTCCTGGCAGCTACCAGCTATCTCAGCCTGAGGCTCGCAGTGGCTTTAAACAATCCTGTTTTCTAGGTATACGATCTTTAAAAAACAAGAAATTTACCCATTCACTTTATAGTCACAAGAAGATGATGACAATTTAAAAAATAACTTTTAAGAAGTAGTCAAGAACACAGAAACATCAATTCCAAAGAGCACCTACACCCCTATGTTTATAGCAGCACTATTTACAATAGCTAAGTTTTGGAAACAACCCAAATGCCCAAAAATAGATGACTGGATCAAGAAGATGTGGTACACATACACCATGGAATATTACTCAGCAATCAAAAAAGATAAACACATGCCATTTGCATCAACATGGATGGCGCTGGAAGGGATCATGCTCAGCGAAATAAGCCAGAAAGAAAAAGAAAAATACCAGATGGTCTCACTCATAGCAGGAATCTAGAAAACTTAAATAAGGGACCAGGAAAATGAATAACTATAAGAAAGTGAAAATCAAAATCAACAAACAACTATGAACCAGAGACACTCTATGGGGGGTAAGGGGCGGGAGGGGAGGGATTGGGGTCAAAATAAGGGGGTTGCATTTGTATGGGGAATATAAAAATAAAATTTATTATTAAAAAAAAAAAAAGTAGTCAAGAAAACCCAGTAGCAAAATTTGAGATGAAAGCTTTCGCGGGACACAGACGCCTGAAAAACGAGACTCTCATCTGAGTCAGCCACAGCCCAGCCTCGAGGTATCTGCTAACCAGGTCTCTGATTTTCAGGGCTTCTCAGAATATCTACTCCATCCTCTAAAAGTCATAATGGAATTCATACACTATTAACTGTGCGGAACTTAACAGAATACTGTGAGATATGTTGGCATATGTAATAATTCATAAGTAAAATCATCTGCTTCACCTCCCCCAACATACCAGACAAAACACACATCTCCTCAATGAAACAAACCAAAGCATTACAGCTTCAATATTTTGAGTCTTGACAAGGGAAGGCAGAACACATCAGTGATTTAAGACCCCAGTAATCAGAACTGAGTCTGCAACAGTCAGAGGCAGGAAGAGAAGGAGAGGGTCCTACTCTCTCTGACAGGAGGACACGCCCTAGTGCTGGTCTGCCCTGCTCCACTCCTAAACAGCCAACGGTCAGGGCACCCAGCAGCTGTGTGCAACGGTCCACTGTGTGACACTGCAACAGTGTGGAAATGAAGGTATTATATAGAGCCCACTGTGCTAAGGACACTGACGCGGCACCCAGCTCACTTCCTTGGATGAAAGTGGCTCTGGCTTACGTGACTGACCATAAGGCTCTCTTGGAGCCCCTATAGGCCACCGTTCATTTTCAAAGGCTCTTAGTCAGAACTTTCCTGGAATACGGGTTGAGCATTGTCAAATGACCTAAAGTAGAAAAAGTGAGGCACATAAAGACATCAATTTATCTTCACCAAGAGAATGAACAAGAAACAGGAATCAACTAGAGCTGATATTTGGAGTTTAATATTGCCTAAGTCATGTGGCTTCTAGTAACCTATACTGAAAATTTTTACATAAACAGACATTTGGTTACTGCATTTCATAGTGAGGTAACCTCGATCAATGTTTGAAAACACCTACTGTGATATCTACAAGTTCTGCAGAGTAGGCAGCCAGAATGCGTTTATCTTAGTCATCCGAGAGATGGTAAGCTATGAACCAGTGCCTTCTCTAGATAGGACTCAAAACCAACATTTCTGTTACAGTGACGACTGAGTATTGATTTCTATGAAATTAAACCTTTAAGTAACAAAACTTTTTTGCATTAGTAAAAGAAATCTTGCTTATCTAGTCATGCTACTGAAGAGGCTCAAGGAGTAAGACACTTCCTCTAGCTGCAGAGAGGCTTTTACCAGCTACAGAAGTACTTAATCATTACCCCAGGGAAGCCTTAAGCACAACCACTATCACAAAGAGTAAAAAGTTATTTCTAATTTAATGGTTTCTCAGAACTGAAAAAAACAGTCAATTACTAAACTACATGATAGTCTCAAAAGAACTCCATCTGTGTTGCTCATTTGTATCTCACCAATCGTACATAGCCCCTTGTAGTCAAAATAGACTGGGGCCAGCCCACAAAGAACCTGAGCAACGGGACCTTTTTCTCAGGCCTGCTACCAGCAGCGCATGTCTGGGTAATAAGGTGAGACTGATGCGAACTCTTAACTAACACAGCTAATGCAGTGCAATTTTAAAACCAAGTCAGTAACATCAAACATTAGAATTATGAAAGAAATATGCATTTCTTTCACTTGTCTTTTTTAAAAAAAAAAACAAAACATTAAGGACAACAAAAGGAAAAGAACCTGTTAGATGAACCTACGTTTTGGCTGTGACATCCACGTACTGTCCCGGGCGAAAGTGAGCAGCATAAAGAGGAGTGCCTTTATAAAAAGAAAACAAAATAAAAAAAAAAAAAAGAAAGAAAGAAAAAAGAAAACAAAATCAGTATGAATTTGTGAGCCTAGAAACAGCTTCACTAAACACACACTACATCATCTAAAAAGTCTTCTCAGCTATCAGAGCTCAAAAATGGTAGAAGATTTTCTTCTTCAGTTACACCATTAGAAACAATAAAATTGTTCAAAAAACATGGCTTTTGACTGTGAAGAGCCGAAGCACAGCATGCCCGGCATGTGGCACTTGGAGCTGGAGGGAGTCAACAGACTGCAGCTGGCGGCCGGTTGGTGCCTTTGCGGCAAGTGTTCTTGTGGGCAAATCTGAGTTTGATTATTGGTCATGAATGAGAAAATACTGCATTAAGATATATTTCCTAAAATATATAAGGAAAGTGAAAACAAGGGAATGACTAAAACATGCTGGGGCTAGGTCAAATCATTTTTATCCACTGAAGGTAAATTATCCCAAAACAGCAACTTCAATTATTTGAACAAGGTCCACCTGATATTGGGTAATGATTACGGTAACTGTTATAGCCATAGAGTTTATACAGAGCAGATTTTTGGGGAACTAGTCACTGTTCCAACAAAAGTCATTCCAGCACTTGCCCAGATATTTGGGATGGCAAAATCACTGCCATTATAGGCACTCCTAATTTTATATACATTTCCAGAGCTAGTTGTGTATAAATAAAATCTTGTTTTAATTGCATTTGGGAAACAGTATTTAAAGGACTCTCGAAATAAAAGGCCTTCATATTTTGTTTATACAAATTTAGAATCAACACTTATGAGAACTATTTAATCTGGTAATTAATCTGCAAACATTTGTAGGTACTCTACTGTCAGAAACACAAAAGTCTAAGATATGGCATCTCACCACGAAATATACCATCTAAGTGAAAAATCAAGATTAACATAAGAGATTTCTTTAAGAGTAGTAACCAATGTAGTATAGAACTGAAAGTAACAATTAGAAACCTCAACAATAAAACTGTTCAAGAAACGTTTTTAATTGACAGTATGAGAGATGTATTTTTGTTCATTTTAAACAGGGGCAATATGTTACAGGATTTCATGGATAGTGTCCATTAAGGTAGATCCAGTCTGGATTTGTACAGGAAAAGAAAAATTCTGAATTAAGAAAACAGATTAAAAGTGGCTAAACTTCTATGAGTCTGAATGACTTAAACTGCTGATGTTCACTATTTCTTCCCCCACGAAACAAAAACAATTTCCACATGGTTTGAGCTACAGTAAAAATTAATGTGGACTTTTATCTTCACACTCCTTAGTTTAAACTTACTTTTAACTTAGTCTAATTTTAACCTTAAAGTTGCAAAGCCTGCACTACAAAAAAATGCTTTTAATTCTAGTCTATATTAACACTGACCCTCTGCCACTCCAGTAAGGTCTACTGCAACTGTATTTTACTTCAAGAAATTTAATTTGGATATTAAAATACCAAATCTTTAAAAGTTCTACTGCCTATTTTGTTAGAACTCAAGTTCAAGGGATCAGAGAGCTTTTCTGAAATTCAAAGTCTGTATAAATCAATATAATCATGTGTGAAATAGTGCCTTTTGATATTCTATGGATCAGGTAAAATATTTTGGTATTTTTAAGTAAGAATATTTACATTAAGGCGCTAGGGTCACTCATCACCCCCACTGCAGGCTCTATTTTCTCAAATTCTTTTCTTAGTGAGTAAAGCTACTTTTCATCTAATAGCGTGCCAGTGAAGTTTGTGTATTTATTTGGAGTGGCTTTTCCAAATGTGAAACTCTCTGTGCATTGACACAAGTGTTCCTCCCTCTCTCATGGAAAACAAAACGTTCTCTACAGCTCCACTGAAAAAAGAAAGAGGCTCACTTGTCCCCAGTGATTAAATCAGATGCGTTTTTATATTTAAAAATAAGTGTTTGGGACTTTGTATTTTGGATTCAGCTTTATTGAAAGGGCTGACATTAAACAAGTCACATATTTGGGTATTTTCACTGCCCTCCTCTCCCCGACCTCAGATTACCTGGCTTAATTACAGCATTATCGGTTACACGAAAGATCTTCACTTTCTGTTTTGGCGGCAATCCAAGTTCTTGGTAAAATTCCAATATAGATGGTGATTTCTAGAGGGAAAGCAGAACACAAAAATACCACTTTAAATACTAAAGGTAGAGTTTAATGCACAGAGATCAAAGCCAAGTTATTAACACCCCAGAAAACATGGAGCACCCTGTTCCCCTTATTTAAGGGAGGTAAGATTTTATCTATAATCCACTGCAATTAGGATCCCACCATGTGCACAATTCATACAGAGTACATGGGGAAACATTTTTGTTTCGCAGGGCAAGAAACACAGTTGTACGCATATTTGAATTCTGACTAGAGATTGCATGTACTGAGAACCCTGATCCTGTGAAAGTCTGTCTACTCCGTGCCCCCCCTTTCAAGCAGCTGAAATTTCTTTGAAACAAATTTCAAAATGAGTCCCAACCTACATTGTCATAATTAAACCCCTTTGACACTCTCCAAGGCAACATACCTTCTTTTAAAATCTCCAGCAATGTCCCTTCTCCAAACTTTTAGTTGATCATAATACTTACTACTGAAAACAGAAGACTCAAAAACACTGCCCCATGTTCACGTCACCTAATCAAACAAATTGCCTGCATGGGTCTTTACCTCCTGTCACCCTCTCGTCCTACTCAGGCTGCACGAGATACACGGGGGCGCTAAAGGTCTTCTGCTGGAGGCTGCAACTTCTCTGGTCTAAGGTGGCATCCAGGAGTGTTCCCTTTAGGCACCCCACGGATTCAGATGTGAAACGGGCTGGGGCTCACGATGAACTGTCCCCACACCACCAAGTCAAATCCCTCACTACAGCTGCTTTGCACCCCCTCGTCTACACAGTGACTGTACTCCTGAAACTGTGCCCACCATCTTCTGAATCAACAGATTCCCCTTTCCTAATCGAAGTTTCCTGTCAGTATGTAAAGATGTCACAATAAATCACACATCCAAGCAAAACTGCTTGATCAGTCTAATCTTTCTGACGCCCTGACAGCAAATTTCCTTATAAGACCTGCTGAGTCTACTTCTTCCCCTCCTGTTGTAAGCCAACATCAATAAGGTGCTTTCAATCCCTAACACTGCAAAAATAAGTGTCTGTCAAGGTCATCAACCAATGCCACATGGTGAAACACGATGATCAAAATTTCACTGGCTCTATCAGCAATGTCTGGCACAGGTGACCACTCACCACTCAGTTCTCTCACGTGCTAATGACCTTCCGTTTTCTAACTCCAATACCAAATTCTACTCTTCAATGACAGATTCCCATGTCCAAGTGCCAAATCACCATCCCACTTTGCCATCACACAGCAATTCAAGTTTCATATCCACACTGAACTCAACATCCCCACAAGCCTGCTCTCCAGGTTTTCCAAATCTCAGTGAGTGGCAATTCCAAACTTCCGCTATTTGGAACGAAAACCTTGAGGTCACCTCTGACTCCTCTCTTCCTCACACCCCACCCATCAACAATACTTACAGACTTTTACAATCCAGCCCACACCAACCACTTCTCATCCCCACCCCAAACCACATCTTTTGCCCGGATTATCTGAATAGCCATCTACCTGGTGTGACCCCTAGTCCGCTCTCCACTTACAGGCTAGCACCAACCTTTTAACTCACGTCTCTACAATTCCATATCATGCAGAACCAAGTCCTAAGTCCTTACCATGGCTTACAAGGTTCTTGTCAATCTGACCTCATCTGCCATTCTGCTGGCTCACCCTGCTTCAGGGACAATGCAGTCCTCTCTGTTCCAAGAACACATCAAACCCCTGCCTCAGTTCCTTTGCACATACCGTTTGTCCCCCCTGCTTAGAATGCTTTCCTGTCAGATTTTTGCATGACTTGTTCCTGCAAACTTCACCCTACCTTTCCCGACAACTTCATCTAAAACAGCACTCCCTGTCACCTTGTAATCCCCTCCACCTACTTTAACTTCTCAGAGCACTTTCATCTGCTGCTATATATATATATATATATATATATATATATATATATCTGTACTGTTTAATTGTCAATGGAACAGTCTGTCTCACACCCAAGAGCAGCGACTGTAGTGTGCTCTGTCCCCAGCTCCTGGTAGGTCCTGCTGTCTGTTTTTTCCTGCACCCCCACGCCCCCGTCACCCCACTCTCACTTTTTTAAATAGCCTTGAAACTTCAATAGAAAATGCTGGACATTTTTTCACCATTAAAAATGCCTGCTTCCAACAGACTACAGCCAACACAGGTGTGTCTCACTCCCGGTTCCCTCTCCCGCAACTGTCCTCCAATCATAATGACGCACTGGCAAGTCCCAAGAGCCAATGTTCTCTGTGTGCTGGGCTTACCCACCTGCCTGGGCCAATCTTTTGGCCTGTTATCCCTTACCCGCCCTGCACCACTCATTAAAAAACTATTAAACAGGTTTCTAGTCCCAGCAACAATGACATCTGCTGTCCAGCTGCCTCCCTGAGGGGCCTTGCCAGAGCAGACAGCTCCTGTCGATGTCACCCCTAGACCCTGCCTGCACCTCAGTCACTGGCCACACCGCCTTACACACCTATCTGACTTTCGGCCTGTGATGGCCTACACAGTGGAGGTTGCCTATTCTCTTGTGTCTCCAACTTCAGAGTTAAACACAGTGGCAGTCAGACACTGTGCGAGTGAGCAGAACAAATGCTAAAAAGACACAGGCGATGGGGTCTGGTGTAAAGTCCTGGTGTGTTCCTCCAAGTCACCCACCTTTCTACTCTGGCTGCTGTTGCCTCAGTTCTCAGCACACAACAGTGCTGTGTCTGCAGCTTGACAGAGCATGGTCTCTGTCTTCAAGTCTAGTTATTAAGATTTGTAGGCCGAAAATAAACACCACAACTTACTTTGAGAATGAACACATTCACAAGAAACTAAACTCTATGAAACTGAACCAATCATAATTTGTAATAGAAAAAAGCAGTAACTGGGCCTCCCCGGTGGTGCAGCAGTTGAGCGCTGGGTTGCGAAGCTGCCCACAGCCTCTGCAGTGCCGGTTCGATCCCCGGCTGCTCCCCGGCCACTGGAGGAGGGCCCCACATGGCGTGCAGACCTCTCCTGCCGCCCGCTGCTCCCCTCAGCAGTGTACTTCGGTCCTTCTGCCTGCTCTGCTCCCCGCTCTGGTGAATTCTCCCACCCTCCCGCGCTTTTGACTGTACCCAGTGCTCATATAAATAAATAAAAATAAATCTAAAAAAAAGAAAAAAGCAGTAACTAAAACACCCTAACGAACTTAAGAGGATACTAATGAAAACAAATTACTCGTCTCCCAAATTCCAATTGTCTGTCTGCACAGTCAGACATCTGCAGAATGACTGACTGCACAGTACAGGCAGGTAGTGATGAATTTTTTAAGAAGTGAGCTGTTAATGCTCCTTAACTTACCTAGTAGCCTGCCTTTAGTAAGCATGAAATTGCATGGCACTGGCCCGAAGTCTAGAACTTTACCCCCCGTCCCCACCCCGAGAATCTCCGAGACCCTCCACTAAGACCACAGAACTAACGCTGAGCAGCTCTGCCCTGGATGTCCACGAAGACTGTTTTGTACCTCAGAGTTCCCCCAAGAAGCTCTCCCTGCCTGCAAGAGTGACAACACAAACAATCCAGTCATTCTCTAGGCTCAGCAGAAATCAAAGGCTAATACTAAACACTACTCTCACCACAGTCCCTGCTTTTCCTCCTCAGTCACACTGAATTCTTCTACAACAAAAGCAAACATGACATTTCTTTTCAAAAGATGGCTCCTTGAAATTACTTCCTTGAATTATCAGTTCAGAGTAATTAAATTTTAGAACACACTTCAATTTTGTTTTTGACTTGCACATAGTCCGCTTGGTAGTTTAAAAGCATATTATTTTATTAGTGTCAGTTTTTAGGTATGCCAGGAGGCTTTTGAAAACAAAACAAAAAAACACTACTTTTTCAGTAATATAGACAAGATTAACATCTTGACCTATGTGACTATATATTAAGACATAAAAGGTAACCTTCCCATTTCACTAAAATTGAACACTTTATATATTTTCTTTTAAAATAATTATATATGGTGTCAACCATTAGAAAAACCAAATGCTGAGTTGAAACCAGCAGCAGTGTAACAGAGGTGGTTTTTTAAAACTTCCAAATGATTTCAAAAGGCAATTTAGAAGACTGACAGCAGGTCACACTTGGCTAATCCTATCCACGAGGCTGCGTTTTTTCCTCCCTCAAAGTTGTCTGCAATTACCCCTCGCACAATGAAAATGCTTTTCTGCTTCCAAGATGAATTGATTAACTCAACTTCTAGGGCATTCAGCTTCCTCATTCAAAAACACTATGTACCACATCTGTTTATATTAAGGTACAAAAATAGCAAAACCAAAGTAGCCTAATTTCTTGGAGGTCTAAATTCTCTAAAAATTAAAGGAAAAAAAGCAGTTGTAACCCTAGCATTCATAAAACTGATTTGACCAATGTATTTTAGAATGCTTAACTATGTAATATTTTATATTCATCTGTCTTGGCATTGTTTTTTAAACCCCACCGTAATTAATTTACTTGTAATTCCCTGAGGGTTGTAACACCCAAGAGGAAGTCTGTATACTTTTATTTCCAAAAATCTTTTTCCTTTCTGGACCAAAATGTTTTTCTTCTAAAAAGTATTAAACCTTCATTTTCATATCTCATTTTGAACAGAGGTGATCCAAAGGCAAGTTTTTTTCTTAATGTTGCAATAAGAGTCCTCTGGACTTAAGGAGTAAACAGGGTCCTTGCAGCACTTCTAATACTAGAGAATAGTTTTAACTGTTTATGTAATTTCTGAGGGTGACAGTCCACCCAGCATAAGAATACTGCATCCAAACCACTCTGCTGTGCTGTACATTTACTCAAGAGGATAAAGCTTAAAACATGTAGATCAGTCTCAAGCAAGATAGTGCTAAACTGTCACTACTGTAGTATTTTGAGTATTATGTTAATAAAATTTTATTTATAAAACACCTTCATCACTAAGTAAATTAAATTAGCTGCCAAATATATCTTGGGGGAATGTTTGTATGTTCTTGAGAATTAAAGTATCAGAGAACCATTGAGACTTTTAGAACTAGAAGAGAATTTAGAGATGACTGATCCAATCTCCTGCTTTTATAAGTAACAATGTATGTTCAAAAACAAGGCATGAAGGGAGCTAATGAAGAAATCATGATTAGAACTCAGCTTCTCTGACCCCACATCTACTTGTTTTCCCACCAAGTTTGAGGAAGCAATGTTCACAGATCTATTGAAGCAGAGTGGATTATTCCAATTTGATGCTTGCTGTAAAGCCACAAAGTTACAAAACTGATAGTGAAAATCAAGATGATGGTGCTGGCTAGAACAAAGCACAGAACCACTACTTGGAAAACAGTGGCATCTCTCAAACCAAAGATTTGTTCACATGGAGGCTAGCACATATTTTAAACATTTAAAAATTGAGTATTTGACATTTAAAAAAATTCGTAAATACTTCATTGTGCTTTTAATTACTATGGAATTATCGGAACTCTGAAATTATTAGTCAATAAACTGTCAATTATTAACAGCAGGACAGATATTATTTGAAAGCTTTAATGAGAAGTGAATGGAATATTACATGATCAAAACAGGCAAAACAGCTTATTTCTCTAATACTTGCAAAACAGGCAACTATCTTCTCTCCTGTTCAACAATAGGACGCTTATGATTTCAACCATTGTCAGTATTGTCAACCATATATATTATGGTCGCTGGTCAATCTATCCCACTATAGACAAGGTAACTCCACCTGGATTTTCTGTGAACGCCTCAAATATACATCTTTCCTCCCAAATTTTCCTTTCCTGTTCCTATTCTAGGCTATAGTGTCAGCCTGACCCAGCTGCTTAGAAACCACTCCCTGCCTGCGTCCTTTCACACACACTTCACAGAACTTTACAACCCCCGCCTCTTTCAAGCCCAATGCAACTGCCCTCATTCAAAGGATTTCTTCACTCTCCCCTAGTGCTTAAACTCCCAAATGCCTCCTTGTGTCCAGATTCTTCTCATTTAACCAAGATAACAACCCATCAACTTAGTGCCCTAGTTAAAGAATTCAGAAAGCTCCTTTGAGTCTACAGGATAAAGTAGAAACTCTAGCATTCTACTCTGACAGCTGCACCCTTTGCATCTTTATCACTTGCCCCCACTGGAGGCACACCTGCGTGCAAAGATCCTAATGCACCAGTTTTCCTTCCAAGCACACACTCTTCCACCATCTCTGCGGCAGAAAACACTCCCTCTGGAATGCCTCTAACACCCATTCTCCTTTCTCATCCCCCTATGAAACCTCAGATTTCCTCAAACAGCACTGGCAGTCCCCCCATTCTGTGCTTGTTGCATTTATAACACTGTACCAGGACGCTGGCTTTATCTGCCCACCTTCTTTCCCACCCTGAGTTTCTAGAGGGTGGAAATCCACATACAATTAAGAAAGGAAGGCTCTGAAGTCTGATTGTCATTATACTTCTTACCAGTGGGTGGCCCTGAGACAGTTACTTAACCTCTGTAGCCTCAGGCTGAAGAGGCTGCATGGGTTAACAAATCAAACATTACGTACGTAGCACACAATACATGCTTAATAAAAGTAAGCCATGACAAGGAAATAGGAGGCACTTGGACAGTTGTAGTGTAAGGTTTGTACCCTGCACTGTAAGCAATTTACAATGGTAAAACATTTACCTTACCTCAGAGATAAGCAACAGGACTTCATAAATTGAAAGATGTTTCATTACCCATCAGTGAAGACCGTCACTTTTTAGACAGGTATTCCTTGCTTTTAGTCATCCAATAGAGGACACTAATTGCACACTTTTTGAATGTAAACTACAAACTCAGCATTCTATTAGTATTCTATTTGGGAAAACATGCTTAAAAAAATAAAAACGATTTCATGTGGGTTCACCTACAACTTTCTCCCAAGTACCTAAAGTTCAATTCTAGAAGATACAAAATTAATCTTCACATACCCTTGGTGAACTGTTAAGACAACTGAGAGAAAAGCAACAACAAAATAACCAAATAGCTATAGTATATTGAGTTTGTTACATGCCAGGCACATCTGAAAAGTCTCATTTAATACTGGTAATATACCTCTTAAGTAGTACTTTATTCCCATTTTACAAATGGGCCAATATGGCAGCTTAGAGGAGGGAAAAGTAACTTGTTTCAGATTTTGGGGGAGTGGTGCGGGTAAAGGGGTGATTTACTGGAATAAACTCAATGCATTTCAGACTCCTGGGATTCAACGACTCTACTAAGACATCCCCCCCATATCCACAACTCATCTCATGGACAAATACAAGTTTATAGCTATGAAATATCTTTAAAATTCAAAGAATCCGGATCTGAAAATAATGAAAGACACTATTCTAGGAGTGAAAACACATCCTTACATGGAAGCGTGACACAGTTTTGCCTCCAACAGTCAGGGTTGCCATTTTCCCATCACAGTTTTCCTTTGGAGTATATTTCAGAACATGACAGTCTTGTACCTAAAAAAGTAAACAACAAAAAACCTAAGTATATAGCCCAAGATATGGTGAACATTACGTGCTAGCCACACTGAGGTCCTAAGACACTTAAAAATCCTTAAAGTTATTTATCTTTTCAACATTAAGCACAATCTTAAAATACAGAAGCTTTTTAAAAAATGGCAAATACACATAGAACATATAGATAACACATACAGAAATGTAAAACAAAGATACAACAAAATTAGTACTTACAAAGAACATACATGTAACCAGCACACATGTCAGGGAGAATCCACAAAGCTCCTCTGTGACACTCAAGCTGTCCCCTCACAGCACCCCCGCCCCCCAACACACACAGTTTATTCCTCAAGCTGAGTGTGGTCCTAAGTGTGGTCCTGAGACGAGGTGCATCAGCATCACTTGGGAACTTAAAAATGGAGATTCTCAGAACTCAGTGGAGCACTAGGAAACCAGCATCTCTATTTGATCATAACCCTTCGGGTTGATGCTGCTATTCCCTTCAACCATTGATTATGAACTAAACTAGCAGATTGTTGAGGCCAGTTAGAATCCTTTTTTATCCACTGTGCCAATCTCAATGCCAGTATCAATAAAGGGACCGTTCAGACTGAGAATATTCACTGAAGCCAACAGAAGTCAACTTCTTTAATAGTGTGGACACTCAACATTATGCTATTCCTCACCACAGTTACACTTCAGGATCATGTATTGCCCATTCAGATTTGCACAAACAGACCTCAGCACACATCCAAGTCATCACACCTTTTGTTTCTTACCTGAAGTAATGTGACCGCGTGCTTTTTACCATCTTTGGTCCATAAAGGCATCATACCCAGCTTCAGGGCAATAAGGCCTACTCTAGAGGAACCTAGCAATTAAAAACAAATCAGTGTAATTACAAACTTTTTCAACACTTGCCAATGATGCAACAGTATTTCCCAAACTGTGGTTTCAAGGAGGAACAGGCAGATCAGAAACAGGCTAATGCCTTCAGAGAGTAAAACTCAGCTGTTTAACAGCTCTAAGTGCCTTCAATCATGTCTGGCAATATATATTGGTACTCTAAATTTTTGTTAAAATCAAATTTCAGTGTATAAAATAAACAGGTAAACTAGCAAATTCTGGTTTTAAAATAATGGTATGAATGGAGAACATGAAAAACCCATCATTATGCTTTGCTTCCCTAGTATCAATTCATATCCAAGCTCATTAATGAGAAAACATCTACCACTCAAAACCCCAGGTATCAGTTGGGGTTAGAAGCACAAGTGGGCATGCTGCTGAAATAGGTCAGTCTCCTTCATGACACTTGGCTTTGTTACAACTGTCACAATAAACCCAAACCAGAGACCACACTGTTAACAGGAAAGGGCTTGTTTGCCTCAATCTGGCCACATCTGGGTTTAGCACTGGGCACAAAGAGCTGATTCTGGTTTACGCTGGCAACCTCAAGTGCCTGATAACATCCCAATTGAAAACACCTGTGTGGCACATTACAGTTAAGCTCACACTCTTCCAGCTTTGCCCCCCTAATTTATTCCCCCTCCTTTTTTTGTCTAAAGGAAACAATGAAAGCGTATGCAAAATAATCTTTCACCTACAAAACAGCTTAAGGAAGTTTAGATTATCCTCAGACATTCACTAACAGTAAATCAGAATGCTGGGAATAAACTTGCAAACCAAACTACAACAAAACAGACCCACTTAAATCATGAAAAATAAATTCGAGAGATAAATTTCTCAGTTGAGTGATCCTGAGTGTGCCAGCCACACAGTAATTAGCAGATGAGAACACATCAAGCAGAAAATAACCACCTGGCTCCCAGGGATGCATAGGCCATGGCTCGTCTTTCAGAGGACACAGTTTACTTGCTAATTGGGCTTTATTTTCATCAGAGGCCAGCTGCTTAACAAACGGGACATTTTCTTCAGAAAGATGCTCATCCCACCAAGTACCACTCTTGTCATGGAAACTTCTAGCCAAAAGCCAGATGTCTGTTCTGCAAAAGTGAAAATGAGAAAACCAACCATCATTCAAAAGGTTCCCACACTTGGTGTCGGGAAGGGAGGTCAGAGGCATTGGAAAGTGTAGTCAGGCCTTAGGAAAGGGTTTGAAATCTGAAAATTTTCTCTCTGCCAATCCTTATAACAAGGGGGCTCACATTTTAACTGTTCATGTTTACCCTGTAGTAAAGGTCTTTATCTTTTTTAGGATAAACCTATTTCTTTTTTTTTTAAGATTAATTTATGCATATAAATATGGGGTACAGGCCAGAGGCGTGGGGGATGGGGGGGAGGCTTCACCAGAGACAGAGTGGGGAACAGAACAGGCAGACTGACCGCAGTACACTGCTGAGGGGAGCAGCAGGTGAGTCAGGAGAGGTCTGCTGCGCCATGTGGGTTGCTCCCTCCCTGGCAGGAGGCCGGGAATCGAACTACAGAGGCTGCGGACAGTTTCATAGGTTGAGTCTTAACCCCTTGCGCCACCAGGGAGGCCCCTTAGGATAAGCATATTTCAAAGCAGTCTCGTCTAGACACAGAAGCCACCGACTCATCTGAACCTGTATCTTAATAGTTTAATATCCAGCGGAAGCAGCAGAATGTGGAACGCCAATCTCAGATAAGCCACCCCCAATCTGATAAGCGACCTCTTCCCTGCAGCCTCAGCTCTGAATGACGCAGAAACTGGGTGTCCAAATTTAAAAGATTCATAAAAGACATGACCTCTGGCCATTTGAGCAAACCAAAAAGGACGACGGAAGAGAGACCGAGAAGGTGATGTGTAATTCTTGCACGCAGGGACAGAAAAATAATAGTTTTCGCAGTCTATTCCCCCGTGATTCACAGACCCTATTTTGCACCTATTGGTTGAGGGATCTCAGGCGAGTTACTTCTAAGCCTCCGTTTCACCTGCACAACTGAAGAGTGATCGCATCTGTAGGAAGGATGACAGCTCGCCCATGTTTCACGAGCTGGGGCACCTATTTACCTTACAGAGATTTAGTATTCAGTAAACGCTCATGAATAGGCAGGTATTACCGCTACTGCTAAAGCTCGTGGTCAGTCGCTGGCTCGCGAGCGTGAAAAGCAAGCAAACAAAACCGTTCAACCCTTTAAGGGCACGTCCTTTGGGGAACGCTCCTTAAGCTTCTGTTCATGGGACTCAACAGAGGTTCTTCCCCTGCACCCAGGCTGACCCCTCCTCGCCCGGCCAGGCCCGGCTCAAGGGCGCAGTGTTGCAGGGACACCCTCCACACCCCCTCCCTCCCTGGCGCACACCCACCTGTAGCCCAGGCTCCCGGCGGCACCCAGGCCGCCCGCACCGCGGCTCCACACCTGGGCGCCGGCCTGAGCCAGCAGCCTCCAACCCGGCATGCCGTGGCCGGGGAGGGGTGGGCCCCTACACCTCCGGGAGTCCCGCCGCTCTGCTGTCAGGGCGTCCCCAAGCGGCCGTCTCGCGTCCACCAGGGCTCCCCGGACCCCGCCAGCAGGCCGCTGTGCCCTCCCGGGCGGAAAGAGAAGCGGCGGAGCCACTTCCGGTCCGTGCGCTATGCGCTCCGGCACCTGGGCTCACCACCCACCCGGAACTAGAGTTCCGCCTCCGAAATGGTCCTAGCTTGGATCAGAGTCAGGATGCGGAGGGCGGGGCCGGTTCTTCTCGCCCGGTGTTGACAAAGGCGGCTGGTGGGACTTCAGATTTTAGGAGACTGGGAAGAACTAGGAACAGGTTTCCTGAGGAAGCGAAATCACCCCTAAATAATGTCCACTGGGAGGGAGGTTATTTGTACTAAGTTGCTCTTGATAGTCTTACACAGGTATATGTTCAAAGTAATCCCCAAAAAGGAAATTATTTTTATATCATGAGGGAACTCAGACTCCGTTGTGGTGCTGGTTCATAAATGTACATCTGGCAGGTGTGCAGAGCTGACACTGAGGGCCAAGGACAGTATCTGTGGCTTCCAGAGCTGGACCTAAAGATATTGCTGCACTGTCGAGGCGCTCTGTAGCTCCCTCTGGGGAAGCCAGGGGCCATGTCTTGCAAGCTCCCAAATGGCTTTGTAGAGAGGCAGTTATGAGGACGAACCAGCTTTTCAACCACCTAGGAAGGGGATCCCCCAACCCAGGCAACCCTTCAGGTGACTGCAACAGGTAGAAGACCTCAAGCCTGAACACCCAGTCAAGAAGCTCATGGTTTCCGTGAAAATTGCTGGAGAATTAAATGACAGCTTTTCTTTTCAGCCACTAAGTTTTAGGGTGATGTGTTGCAGCAAGATAACTAATCCACCTTCCTTACAAACAAACCCCTGTCCTGGGTTTCAGACACAACCTAATTACCATGTGTGTGACTTGGACATTTATGCCACTACTCCAAAAGTCTGTTTCCTTATTTGCCAAATGTGTGTTTGTAGAAGTCTGGAAATTAAAATGTTTGGCCATTTCAACACCTTTTTATTGGTGTGCTGACTAAACAGGTAATGGAGTGCCCCAACTTAAAGTTTGATTAGCTTGTTGCAGCAAGAGAGCATACACCTGAGAGTCTCCCTACATTGAGGGGCTTGTTATAAGATTTGAACTGATGCTGGGTGTTTTTAAAGTGGTGTCAGGGAAGCAGGGATTGTTTTGGAATTGATTTTATCAAGAGATAAGGACAGTTCAGCAATTAGGCATCCCTGCAATTAGGCATCTCAATCATTTCCTTGTGCAGGCAAGGAAAAAAAGTGAGACTAAGGGCAATGCTGGTCAGAAAGCAGAAATCACTCAGAAGGAACTACTAATCAGCTTGATTATGGCCGGCTGGTTTACAGGAAGGCAAACAAGGATGATTCCAGAGTTTTCTTATGTTCCCTTGTGCAGCTTCTGGGTAAATATCTAGTGCTTCTTCTATTCAGAGAGACAAAAGACAGACTTGAAGGAATGTCCAAAAAGACTGAATATGACCGAGTATGAACAACAAATTTTAGGAAGGAGAGGAGACAGGTCATCAATGGGGATGAACCACTGACCCCAGGTGCCCTTCCACTGTGCTAGTGGCCCCTATTGGAGATGACGGGCAGCTGAGGAGTGTCCAGCCGAGAACTGCAAAAGGCAGGGAGGGGCACAGCTTGGCTGCTCCGGGTCACACAGCCTCTGTAGTCCCTCCTTCTGTGGTGTTTAGACTCCAACCAGGCCTTGCAAGTAGGATCGTCATGGCAACTCGCTTGCCTGCACGGCTGAGCTGAGACAGGATTCCCTTAGTAACCGTGAACCCGGGAGATGATGCTTAAAATAATCTTTTATGCCCAGGCAGAAATGCCTTTGCAGTTTTATTAACCATGAAGCATCATGGGGCATGTCTTTCACTCCCACTTTATTTTAAAATGGAACAGAATGGCTTTTTAAAGCAGGAATTTCCAGCCAAGGCCAAATGCTGTTCTTGCTCCACAGAGCATACCTCCTGCTGAAACCAATGAGTGTCACACCTGAGTTCTGAGAGAAGCTTCTGGTCTCTGTCATAAAAATTACCTTCAAATAAACCAGGTGCTCTCTGGCTGAGATCACTGGACTTCATCTCCTCTCTTTTCTATTATTGAAATCCCAGTCAGTCTCTCGGTAGGGCAAATAGAGTTGGCAACCATTTAGGGTTTGGGCCACTTAGCCTGACAGTCTCTTGCATCTGGCGCCCTCCCTGCTCTCACCTCAGCTCCAGTTCTCCCTCGTCTTCAAGGCCAGCCTTAGGCCTTCTTCCTCCATGAGGACTCCCTCATAATCCCAGCCTGGCTCTTTCTGCTGTTACCTCTCACCAGGTATATGTATGTTATTGTGTGGTATTATTCGCATTAACTCTAAGTAACAAGAATCCTCAAGTTTGTAAACCATGTCTTCTTGCAAATTCTCGAAAGACATAATTTTATCTCCAAACTCTCCCAGAAACCCTGTATTTATAATAAGAGATCCAGAAATACTCGGGCATTTTAGTGGAGGTAGTTACACAACTTTGTGAATATACTGAAAACCCTAGATGTGGGCCTCTCCGGTGGCGCAGCGGTTGAGCTCTGGGTTGCAAAGCTGCCGGCGGCCTCTGCGGTGCCGGTTCAATCCTTGGCTGCTCCCCGGCCACCAGAGGAGGGTCCCACATGGCGCGCAGACCTCTCCTGCCGCCCGCTGCTCCCCTCAGCAGTATACTTCGGTCCTTCTGCCTGCTCTGCTCCCCACTCTGGCTCTGGTAAATTCTCTCACCCTCCCACGCTTCTGACTGTACCCAGTGCATGTACAAACAAACAAACAAATAAATAAATACATGCCTCTAAAAAAAAAAAAAAAACAAAACCCTAGACGTGTACACATCAAAAGGGGGATCTTTATGGTGTGTGAATTGCACGTTGATAATAAAACAAAAATAACTACATGGAAATGTGAAATATGGAGAGAGCGAAGCCAGAGTTACCACAGTGATGGGAGTATAGGCACGCCAGAAAGGGTGTGAACTTAGGCTACCAAATGTCTATCAGAAAGTGAAGGGTTTTGCCCTACCTTTTGACAGGTTCCTTCTGCCGCTGCCTCCATCCACTCAGGAGGAGCCTGGGACTTGATTCATTTAAGGGGAAGCTGGGAGCTATCTTTTCCAGAATTGGGAAGGTCTGGGCTCAGATTCTGTTACTCGCCTATGTCATGCACCTGGGTAAATCACTTAGTTTCTCTGAGTTTCTTCACCTGTAAACTCTGATTAAAAATCCTCCCTCCTTCAAAGGCAACAGTATGGAGTCAATGAAATGATTCCTATAAAGTGCTTAACATGGCACTTGGTATAAAAAAAATAAAAAAATGCTGACTACTTTTATCAAATATTATATATATTATGTCCTACTGTCTATGTTTACATGCAATTTGTTAGATATCACAATACTTATGAAAACTCTCGATTCATCCCTTTCTAATTTTCTTATTCATATTTTCTGCGTGATGCAATTATATAATTTTCCTAGTAAGATGTTAGGTGTCTTTGTCACTCTTTTGGCTTCTACTGTCCTTTATCTTCATGTCTGTTGACCTTTTAATACTACAGCTATATACATACACTAGATTATGTTCTATTCTTTAAAAACATCACCTCCACCTCCATCACCCCACCCCATTACCACCTCCATCACCACCACCACCATCTTCCCCACCAGCAGGGATCCCCAGCTCCTCTCTGGATGAGGGATAGTGTGCTAAGCTCACCCCCTTCTCTTTCTTTTATCTCTCTTGGGAATCCACAACTTCCAGTTAGGAGCATTGCAGAGAATGGTAAGTGTGAGTCTGCAAATTTTGCCTTAAAGGAAAACAGTTTCCTACAAGTCAGTCAGTTGTGACAGGAATGGTAATTTGTCTGTGAGAGTGCATGGTCTCCAAAAAAAGTAGCTGCTGCCCTTTGAGGGCTGTAGTGATAGGAGTAATAAAAAAGCTCTTCATAAATTTCAATGAAAAATGTCGAGCCATTTATGGAGTGTCGAGCATAATGCTAAATGCTTGCAAATATTATTTCATTTCATCCCCACAGCAATCTAGGAGGAAAGTACTGTGGTCAGAGAGATTAGAAAAATCATCCAAGACTCCATATCTGGTAAACATCCCTATAAAGTCTGACATCTCATCCAGCCTGGTGTAGAAACAAGGCTTCCTAAATCCTGCTCTATTTTTCCCATGCTACATGATGCTGAACCTTTGGGTTTGCTGTTTTGAATGATGGAACGCTGAAGTTATTTATAAATTTTCTCCTTGCTTAAGTTATGGCCAGCAGGAAAGGAGAAAAATGGTCTTTAAAGTGAAATATCAACTAGATTGAAAGTGTCTGAATGTAAAATGTCACTCTGGGCAAGTCTTTCTACACACGGGAGTTTGGGACTCGGTCAGACAACACAATAGATTACATCAGAAATCGATTCTTAGGGAAATTAACACTGTCATCTGCACTGGACATGTCCTCCCCTGTGCACACGAGACATCCCAGTGCTGGGTAGTTGGGGGTCTCCAGCTGTAGAAAGGAGCTAGAGGTAATGGCATCTCTCTTGGGGTCCTTCCTGGGAAGGATAAAGTCTGTGGGATGAGAGTCATTCTCTTTCAAATTTCCCTCAGATTTCCCCTCAAACTTCCATCAAATTTAGAGCTCTTTATCCACAATTCCCCTCCGGCTTCCAAGAAGGGGAGAGTCTTGATCTTAATTTCCCATTCTCTCTTGCTTACACTTCTGAGTTACCTTATTCCAAACCCTAAAAGGAAAAATGTAACAGGCCATCATATAATAGATGCTAAGGGAAATGGTAAGAAGGGGTAGCTATAAAATTAAGAAGAATCTCAGTGGGTTTCCCGAAGGCAGAGGCGAGGCACTGGGAGGGGCCCTAAAATTGCCTGTCCTTTTGCTCCTTTGTGGCCCTGGAATGCTTTTATCCAATCTGGGAACAAACTGTTGGTATCGCATCTGTTTCTTTTCCATCTCATTTCAGGAAGTGAAGTAAAGGTCGGTGAATGGGCGGGGT